ACTAAAAAAATATGATTATTTGTATTATTTATATAATAACATAACGTTAAAAAAATTATGACACGGTACATTCAAGACAATTTTAGCTGATCTAGTTTAGTAATTCTTAATTAACTGAATTGTAAAGTCCGTGCAGTAAAAAACATGTGATAGTTTCTCTTTGTCACTTATACAGATAAGTTTCACGAGAGTTTGCAGATATAATTAAATATACAGCAAAGATCTATTGTAAAATCATTCGATTATGAGTAATTGTAAAAGATTCATTATGTTAAATGTGAATAAGTGTTCTGAATTTATCACTCAAAAGAAATTATCACCGTAAGGACTAAAAACACATATTAAATGACAGATGAAGACACAGGTTAGAAGCTACCTTTTTTTTTTTTTTTTACGTGTGGAAATCCCCTCGGACCGTCACCCCGCCGGGGCTCTCGTTCGGCGGGGCGGTGTGTCGGACTCGAACCGACTAAAACCACACGGTGTGCCCTCTTTGCGCTTCCAGTTTAGGACGGGTCCAGGTAGTTATCGCCTTCTGGACCCCTCCCAGCGCCGGCCCGCTCCTGATGCGGGCTCCGTCTCAGTGGACCCTCTCTTTAGGCGACGTCCGGCACACGCGGACGCCGCCCCCTCGCGGCTGGCCAACTAATGCGGGTGGAGGGGAGAACCCATCCCGTCCACCCGCGGCCACACTCAGGGCGGCATGAGGCGCAGGTAAGCGCGCCTCCGCCGCCCGGTTCGCCGGCGGCAGATCAGGTCCGAGTGGAGGGCCTTCTCCGCCGCCTCCTTCTGCGAGATTACCTCCTCGCAAAAGGTTGCGACCGCGGTAAAATATCTGTCGCTACCGGCCATGGAGCGAATTACGGCCGGTAGCGAGAGATCTGCTCCGATGACTGCAGTGAGGGCCCGGCGCTGCGTCGCCCATGCGGGGCAAACCGCCAGCGTGTGCTGGGCCGAATCCTCACTGCAGTCGCAGTGGTGGCAGGCGGGACTCGATTCCCTCCTAGCGACCGAGTACAGGTACTTTCCGAAGCAACCGTGCCCGGAAAGCACCTGCGTCAGCCGGAAGGAAAGGGTCCCGTGCTGCCGCCCTGCCCACTCGGCGATGACCGGCTGGAGAGCCTCCACGGCGGCGAAGCCAGCGCGTGGAGTCTCCAGCCGGAACGACCATCTGACCATGGTGGCTCGGCGAGCGGCTTCGCGCCACTCGCGCACGTCTTCGGGCGGAGGGCGAAATCCGCTCTCCGCCCGGAAGTCAGCCACTCGCCGATAAACTTCGGCGAGCACTTCCGCCTCCAAATCCACGGGGGTGTTCCGGCCAAGGCGCAAGCCGCCTCGGTGGACACCGTGAGGTATCCGCGTATGGCTCTGACCGCCAATATCCTCTGGGGGCGCCAGAGGCGCGCCCTATTCGGGGCGGTCAGAGCCGCCACCCACACCGGTGCACCATAAAGCGCCATGGACCGGACAACCCCCGCGTACAGCCGCCTCGTGGGAACACTGGCCCCGCCCAAATTGGGCAAAAGTCGCCCTAGGGCGGAGGCAGTGTCCACCAGCTTCGGACCAAGCTGTCGGAAGTGCTCGTCGAAGAGCCACCTACCGTCTAGGACCAGACCCAGGTACCTCATCTGGGCCCGGACCGGTACGAGGACCGAGCCGACCTCGATTGAGGCGCCGGCGGGCGGACCACGACGGGGCCCATGAAATAATAGGGCCTCCGTCTTATCCAGGGCCACCCGTAATCCCAACGCCTCAATGCGCCCGACCACCTGGGAAACTCCCGTGGCGGCCAGGCGCGCCGCCTCCTGGAAGTTAGCCCCCCGGGCCGTGAGTAAGGTGTCGTCCGCGTAGCAGATTACACCCAGCCCGGGGGGGAGACGCCCTCGTAGGGCCCAGTCGTACCCGATGTTCCACAGGAGAGGTCCTAGGACAGACCCCTGCGGAACACCACACGACATGACCCTGCGTCTCAAGACGCCATCTCGGTCCTCGTACATGACGGTTCGCTCCTCAAGATAGTCTGCCACCAGCCGCCTCAGATACTCCGGCACTCCGTGGTAGCGAAGCGCTTCCCTGATGTAGCTGAATGGCAGACTATTGAAGGCGTTGGCGATGTCTAAGGACACCGCCAACACCACTCCGCCGCAGCTCACGGCCTCCTCGGTCACGGCCCTAAGGCGCATCACGGCATCGATCGTCGAACGCCCCTCTCGGAAACCAAATTGGGCGTCCGACAGATCGGGGCCAACCTCGCAAAGGTGCCGGACGATGCGGGCAGAGAGCACCCTCTCAAAAAGTTTGCCCGCCTCGTCCAACAACACGATAGGCCTATAGGCCGCGACCGATTCGGCAGGCCGTCCCGGCTTCTGCAGCAGGACCAGCTTCCCGCATTTCCAGCGCTCAGGGAAGCGTCCGGACGCCAGGCTAGCGTCCAACACCCCCCTGAGGTGGTCCGACATGTAGTCGAGGGCTCGGGCCATCACTCGGGCTGGAACCCCGTCCGGCCCGGGGGCGGTGTTCTTGGATCGAATCCGTAGAACAGCCGCCCCCAACACCGATTCCCTGACGGGCGGAACATCAACCTCGCTGCCCCCGTCGTCTCCGGCTGATGCAGCCATCGACGGGGGTGTGTGCTCCGCCCGCTGCGGGAATAGGCCCTCGACCACTTCCTGCAGGTAGCTGGGCTGGAGAGTCTCCGTAAGGGGGGGGCCCGACGTGCGGAGCTTTTGACGCACCGCACGATAAGGGCGACCCCAGGGGTCACGCTCGAGACTCTCCAGCATCTCCTCTCTACACGCATCCTTGGCGCGGCAGATGGCCAGCCTCAGAGTTTTCCGAGCTTCTCGGTACTCCTCATGAAGCCGGTCCACCTCCTCACCGACCCCGCGGTGACGTCGCCGACTACGGGTGAGGGACTTCCGGGCACGTACACAGGCCGCACGGAGGTCCGCCAACTCCTGGGACCACCAGTAGACCTCCTTCCTTGGAGGCCGACAACCACGAACGCGGGGCATGGCCGCATCGCAAATCTGCGTAATCGCATTGCAGAAGCGACCAGCCCCCATGTCGACCTCCTCGGTCGGGGCCTGCGGAGACAGCCAAGAGTGAATAATGGCCGCCTCCTCTAGTAGGTCCCTGTCGAGCTTGGCGACAGCCCACCGCGGGAAGCGGGAAGGGCGCCGCGCCGCGTGACCCCTACAGGGGTCCTCGGACCGGGAGAGCTCGAATCGGATGTACAAATGATCCGAGAGCGTCTCGACCTCTTCCAGGACACACCAGTTCCTTACTCGTGCGGCGACTGCAGGGGTAGCGAACGAAAGGTCCACTATCGACCCCCCCTGCTGTCGCACGCACGTGTTGGTGGAGCCTCTGTTCAGCAAACAGAGGCCCACCGACGCCGCCCACTGCTCGACGGCTTCGCCCCTGGCGTCGTCCGTCGCAGGGGAGGGTTAGAAGCTACCTTTTTTTTTTTTTTTTTTTTACGTGTGGAAATCCCCTCGGACCGTCACCCGGCCGGGGCTCTCGTTCGGCGGGGCGGTGTGTCGGACTCGAACCGACTAAAACCACACGGTGTGCCCTCTTTGCGCTTCCAGTTTAGGAAGGGTCCAGGTACCTATCTCCTTCTGGACCCCTCCCAGCGCTGGCCCGCTCCTGGCGCGGGCTCCGTCTCAGTGGACCCTCTCTTTAGGCGGCGTCCGGCACACGCGGACGCCGCCCCCTCGCGGCTGGCCAACTAATGCGGGTGGAGGGGAGAACCCATCCCGTCCACCCGCGGCCACACTCAGGGCGGCATGAGGCGCAGGTGAGCGCGCCTCCGCCGCCCGGTTCGCCGGCGGCGGATCAGGTCCGAGTGGAGGTCGTCCTCCCGGGCCTTCTCCGCCGCCTCCTTCTGCGAGATTACCTCCTCGCAGAAGGTTGCGACCGCGGTAAAACAACTGTCGCTACCGGCCATGGAGCGAATTACGGCCGGTAGCGAGAGATCTGCTCCGATGACTGCAGTGAGGGCCCAGCGCTGCGTCGCCCATGCGGGGCAAACCGCCAGCGTGTGCTGGGCCGAATCCTCACCGCAGTCGCAGTGGTGGCAGGCGGGACTCGATTCCCTCCTAGCGACCGAGTACAGGTACTTTCCGAAGCAACCGTGCCCGGAAAGCACCTGCGTCAGCCGGAAGGAAAGGGTCCCGTGCTGCCGCCCTGCCCACTCGGCGATGACCGGCTGGAGAGCCTCCACGGCGGCGAAGCCAGCGCGTGGAGTCTCCAGCCGGAACGACCATCTCACCATAGTGGCTCGGCGAGCGGCTTCGCGCCACTCGCGCACGTCTTCGGGCGGAGGGCGAAATCCGCTCTCCGCCCGGAAGTCAGCCACTCGCCGATAAACTTCGGCGAGCACTTCCGCCTCCAAATCCCACGGGGGTGTTCCGGCCAAGGCGCAAGCCGCCTCGGTGGACACCGTGGGGTATCCGCGTATGGCTCTGACCGTCAATATCCTATTCGGGGCGGTCAGAGCCGCCACCCACACCGGTGCACCATAAAGCGCCATGGACCGGACAACCCCCGCGTACAGCCGCCTCGTGGGAACACTGGCCCCGCCCAAATTGGGCAAAAGTCGCCCTAGGGGTTAGAAGCTACCTAAGGCAGCCTATGACTACAATTAGTGCAACCTGAACGAAATTTAAAAGGATAAGGAATCTGTATCGTATTTACTATAGAGCATCTTGTCGGACTGATATCGTGTTATAATTAAACCGAGTTCACATTTAAACGATTTAATTAGTTAACCTTATTTTCTTCATATACGTACACGTAGATATTCATAGAATCTTGTATCATTTTTTTTTCAGTTTGACCTAGTCTGCGACTATGACGTCTATCCAACATTAGGTTTAGTGGCTCTTAACATTGGAGGACCTATAGGTGTATACACATTTGGCCTCTTGAACGATCGCATTGGTCGAAAAAAATCATTTTTTCTCTGTCTGACCACACTTCTTACTGGAAGCATAATGACTGCTTACGCCCATGAATATTGGTTTTGGGTCTTCGCGAGAGTCATAGTCGGATTGACTATACCAGCGGTGTATCAAATACCTTTCATCATTTGTAAGTATTATAGTAATAGTTTCTAAGGAGAGGCCTATGTCCAGCACTGGACTATTAAAGGCTGTTGATGTAGTATGAGGTGAATATTGTTACTAAAATTTGCTACCCCATATTCTCTAACACAAATATAATGATGAAAAAAGTTGTTTTTATGGTATAAGGGCTAACGATCAGACAGGTTACCTGATGTCAAGTGGCTACTGCCGCCGATGGACTTTGAGTGCCCCTAAAATTAAGAGAGGGAGTGTAAATGACTTTAACTCTCTTGGTTTTTCACCCGGTGAGAACAATGAAAGAATCGCTTAACATTGATTTTCTGTGAGGCCGTGACATCACTCAAATTGAACTTGCCCATATGTACCGAAGCTTGGCTCTCTCATGTGAAATTATTTAGAAGACGTATATGAATCTATTCCATGTAAATAAATTATATAAGTTATTCAAACTTAACCCATTAATTTGAATTATTGTTTATTTTTAGCTTTAGAATTAGCAGGACCAAACTACAGATCCTTCGTTACTGTTATGACGTGTGTCTTCTATACATTGGGGTTGATATTATTATCACTAGTTACCTACTTACTAAGAGACTGGAGAAACCTGGCCCTGGCAACATCGCTGCCATTCTTTTTCTATTATTTATACTGGTTTGTGCTGCCAGAATCTCCTCGATGGTTACTAATGCGAGAAAAACTTGAAGAAGCTAATAATGTTTTGAAAACTATCGCAAAAGTCAATGGCAAGGAATTACCCGAAGAATATACTATCAAGCTTCAGAGACAAGTCATTGAACAGAAAGAAAAAGGGATCTCAAAGGTCAAATCTGTGAGCGTCTTCGCCCTATGTCGGACACCAAACATGCGTCTAAAAACATTCTTAATAACCCTGAACTGGTGTGCTTCGGAAATGGTATATGTAGGTCTAAGTTATTACGGTCCAGCTATAGGAGACAACCAATATATGAGTTTTTTCTTATCATCTGCAGTAGAAATACCCAGCTATCTTGTCTGTTGGGTTCTCATGGACCGCATCGGACGAAGATGGCCACTTTGTTTATCAATGGTTATTAGTGGAATATTCTGCATGGTGACAGTATTACTTCCTGAGGGTACGAATGACTTTTTACCTTTTTTGTAATAGTACTAACCCTATAACCTTGTATATATAACCTAATTATAAGAGCATTCAACTTTCCAGATGCCTTAACAGAAACCCTGATCCTTTACTTAATATCCAAATGTTTTATATCGGCATCCTTCTTAATAATATACCCCTACGCCGGAGAGTTGTACCCAACAGAGCTGAGAGGTGTTGGTATCGGAACATCTGCATATATAGGAGGCTTGGGCTTAATTGTAATACCTTTCATAAATTACTTGGTAAGAGAAATCTAAGCGTATATCATGTACGAACGCGCATGATTCCAGTTTGTATAATAACCACAAATAACGAGTGTCCATTTATCATTCGCACATTCGCTTCATGCTTATTTAGTTTGATAATAATTATATTTAAAATCTGCAGCATTGACATATCTAACGTGACATAGCATATCTTTCTATCGGGGGACAACTAACTAACTAATCACCTTATTACAACTTTTCATTTTAGTAAATCTTGATATTTTACTAGAACTAGTTTCCTAACTCTGCTAAGGATATTATGCTACCTACCTATTCACCAATCATGCTCATTAGTATTACAAAAATTACTCCAGTAAAAAATGCTTGATTACATTCTTTACAATATAACATTCTACCAGTTGTGTACTACTACTTATATTGATTTGACATTATTGGAATACGTCATAGTGATGATTAACTTAAAAGGTGTATTGTATCCTATAAGTCTATAGGTACATACCAGCATCTTGCTGACATGCTTTGCTGTTTAAGGCTTTATGCAATAAAACATTAAATCAACAAGTAGAATATCGGATTTTAGGTACTCAAAGTAGAAATGATTTTCATTTTCAGGGTTCCAGTAATTTGGTTTTGCCTCTAGTCGTTATGGGCGCAGTATCAGTAGTGGGAGGTCTGAGTGCACTTCGGCTGCCAGAAACTTTACATACATCATTACCTCAGACTGCAGAAGAAGGCGAAGAGTTTGGCAAAGACTGGACTTACGCCGATTGCTTGAATTGTGGAGATAAAAAGTAAGGCTATAAAAGTACCAACGTAAATATTTCAAAAGTGACTGAAACCATTATCCCTGTGGTAACAGATTAACAATACGGAGGGTCACCACTCCTATTTATCCCGTGGGTATCCTTAAAGCCGACTAAGCGAGCAAACTACGCAGGACAACAGCATTGCAAAGAGAAGGAAAACATGAAACAAACCCTTTTTTTTTTAATTGTGGAAATCCCCTCGGACCGTCACCCCGCCAGGGTTTTCTGTTCGGCGGGGCGGTGTGTCGGCCTCGAACCGACTAAAACCACACTGTCGCTACCGGCCATGGAGCGAACTACGGCCGGTAGCGAGAGATCCGCTCCGATGACTGCAGTGAGGGCCCGGCGCTGCGTAGCCCATGCGGGGCAGACCGCCAGCGTGTGCTGGGACGAGTCCTCACTGCAGTCGCAGTGGTGGCAGGCGGGACTCGATTCCCTCCTAGCGACCGAGTGCAGGTACTTGCCGAAGCATCCGTGCCCGGAAAGCACCTGCGTCAGCCGCCAGGAAAGGGTCCCGCGCTGCCGTCCTGCCCACTCGGCGATGACCGGCTGGAGAGCCTCCACGGCGGCGAAGCCAGCGCGTGGAGTCTCCAGCCGGCACGACCATCTCACCATGGTGGCTCGGCGAGCGGCTTCGCGCCACTCGCGCACGTCTTCGGACGTAGGGCAAAATCCGCTCTCCACCCGGAAGTCAGCCACTCGCCGATAGACTTCGGCGAGCACCTCCGCCTCCAAATCACATGGGGGTGTTCCGGCCAAGGCGCATGTCACCTCGGTGGACACCGTGCGATATCCGCGTATGGCTCTGATCGCCAATATCCTCTGGGGACGCCAGAGGCGCGTCCTATTCTGGGCGGTCAGAGCCGCCACCCACACCGGTGCACCATACCGGACAACCCCCGCGTACAACCGCCTCGTGGGAACACTGGCCCCGCCCAAATAGGGCAAAAGTTGCCCTAGGGCCGAGGCAGTGTCCACCAACTTTGGACCAAGCTGTTGGAAGTGCTCGTCGAAGAGCCACCTACCGTCTAGGACCAGACCCAGGTACCTCATCTGGGCCCGGACCGGTACGAGGACATGAAACAAACCTTATACCAACCCGCCTGGGCGGCGTGGTACAGTAAGCCAAAACCTTCTTCCTAAAGAGAGGCCTTTGTCTAACAGTGGACTATTAAAGGCTGTTGATGATACCATTGAGCTATCGGATGAGAGATGATACGTAATTTGACAGACAGTAGAAATAACACGGCTGTATAATTTATAGGCACACTGTCTAGCAACTGTAAAAATATTACTTTATATTTTTTAGGAAAATAGTGGATGCTGATTCATATGAAAATTTAGATCAACTGGAACTAACCCCAACACCTCTTGTCGAAGATGGCCTAGAGAAACCTGACATAAGACGCAACTCAATGAGATATCTGGTCCGTCAATCCAGCATAGTGGAAACCCAACGTGATGTTGACGGCAATATAAAAATGACTTACTGGTTTTAATAGTAGCCAGATGCAGTTAATATTTCCTATAAATAAAATAAAAATCTATAGTTTGTATTATTGGTGTACCTCAATTATTTTTAGGCAAGATTTTCTATTTCCACACAAATCTGGCTATTGGGGTCTACTCCTTGGTCAATTAATTAAGAAAGTATTAAAACCTTTAACCTTAAATCAGATTAAAGTATGAGAGATAACAGCATGATCTACCTACTATCATCCTGATCTGACATTATTCATCAGTGACTTTATAATAGGATTTTGAAAGTCTCAACATGTTCTGTCCATTTCAAGGCATGAAAATGTTAAAAATAATATACCTAAGGATTACTAATCTAAAACTAATCCGTTTTATGTGTCGTACTTTTTTAACAAAAATAATAACTTTATACATCTCACACACAAATAAAAACAATTAATACAATGGCAATCCAGTAATAAAATATTAGTTTTTTTTGTTATTAGTTGATAATACATTTTGAAGCAATTTAATAAAATAATATTTTAGTACTACTATAGTCCATCAACGTCGTGCGCGACCGTCCTGCGTGACAGACGGTGGCGGGGACGAGGTACTCAAGATGTCACCCTATGGGACTAATCCCACCCACACGCCCACCACTGTAACTCCTGTACACCAGGATCCACAGCAGTGACCCACGAACACACCGAGTTATGACACTCGGGAAGTCCCAGGAAGAAATTAAACTGTCTTGGAACCCGCAACGAAATTAATCAGAAGAAAATTGGAGGAGTTGGAAATACAGTAAATCCACTTCCCTCCTTAGCAAAGCGGGAGACAAAATGAAGTGAAATAGGCATACACCCTTTTAAACAGGGAAGCACCACGGCCACAAAATATTACGGGTCCTACATGAGCTATATTTGATTTCTATAATATGTATGGCAGAATCGCCTAAACGCACGGAAATTCACCCTAGTTGACACAAGATCCCCATAGTATACCGCCCCAGATGTCACCTGCAAGCTATTCAGCATTATATTACGTTCATTATACCAAAGACTACATTCCCAGAGGATATGATGAGCAGACTGTTCATAATGAGAGTTAGGTGTTGAGCATTGACACAATGGTGACTCGACTAATTTAAATGAATACAACTTGCTCTTAAAGTTACCATGACCCGTAAGAAATTGAGCGACACAGTGATCCACCTCAAGCCATGTCCTCGACAACCGTTCGCGAACAGATGGAAAAAATTGGTAAAGATTGCGGAAATGAATCTTATTATTCACAATACCCCCGATGCACCACCAACTTTTTGCAACCCAATGGGTGAGTCTTCTATTGACGTGACGCTTACGCGCGGCGACGTCTCGATATCCGGATGGCGTGTCCTTCCGGACGCATCCTGTAGTGATCACCGCTTGATCGTGTACGAATTCACACCAAGGGTTGCACAGGATCCACAAAGGGTTCCCTATAATTTTAGATATAAAACTAAAGGTGCGAACTGGGCTTTGTTTGGTTCACTCTTTGCAACTCATACCAAAGACTTCAGTCGCAGTAGTTTATCAGCTGAGGAAAGCGCAGAAATACTATCAGAAACTTTTACATACTGCGCTGATGTAACTATTGGTCGCGGATCTATCACTAACACTCGTAGATGTGATTGGTGGAATGATAGATTAGCCGAACTACGTAGAAGCTACCGGAAAGCTCGTAGAAAATTAAACACTATTAAAAAACATAACGTAACAGGAGATTTGTACAACATTGCTCTCATTGCTCTTAGAGTTGCCAGGTCCCACTACAGAGCTGCTGTGGAAAAATCCAAGGGAAACTTAATTCAGAAACTTGTTAATAAACTCGATAGAGAGGGCCCGTGGTCACCTTTGTATCACGAATTTAAGGCAAATAGATCAATCGACCACGCATACATACAGAACATCAAAATTAATAACAGATATACCACAGGAGTAGAACAAACAGCAGAATATCTTTTAGACTCACTCGTACCTGACGATCGACCGGAAAACGACACAGATCATCACCGACAGATCAGGCAGTGGGCCATCGAACCACCACTGTCTCCAATGTCTGATTTACCATCTTCAGACGAATTTCTCGGTATCATTAGATCCTTGCCGCTAAACAAGGCTTCGGGTGATGATAAAATATCTAACAAAATGATAAAAGAAGCTTGTAAACTTTCGGGTGACACGATTTTCACTGTCTTTAAACGTTGCATTGCTGAAGGAATATTTCCTCGTATATGGCGGTGCGGTAATATTCGTATAATACCAAAAAGTGGCGACAAGCCACCGGATGATCCTAAATCCTACCGACCAATCACATTGTTACCATCGTTAGGAAAGCTTTTAGAACGTCTTGTAGTGCCCCGGCTTCTGCCAGGTGGAGTCAAATTTCATGATAGACAATTTGGATTTACGTTGGGTAAATCGACAACTGACGCTGTTATATCGGTTAGAAAGTTTGTCACAGAGTCAAAATTTCAATACGTGCTGGCTATTTTCTTAGATATATCTGGCGCCTTCGACAACGCATGGTGGCCCATGCTGTTGCTGAAATTAAAATCACGGGGGTGTTTTAAAAATATTTATTCCCTTATCTCTTCGTACTTTTTACAAGGTACAACTAAACTAAGACTTGGTCATCATTCTGTGTCGAAGGCGCTTACAATGGGATGTCCTCAGGGATCGGTGCTAGGTCCATACTTGTGGAATATCGGCTTCGACGATTTTCTTACGATACCAATACCATCCGGATGTACTCTGAACGCGTATGCTGATGACGGCTTATTACTGGTGGAATCTGATACTAGGGCGGGGCTTGAGAGATTAGCCAATAGATGTTTGAACTTGATATCTCAATGGGGTGAACGTAATCGCTTAACTTTTGCACCCAACAAAACCTTCCAGTTACTTTTAAAAGGTAACCTCAAATCACCGCCGAGCATTAGATTTGACAATGTTACTGTAAAAAATAAAACCACAGTGTGTTATCTAGGATTAGTTTTAGAAAGAAACTTTTCATTTATCGAACATATTAAAATAGTTAATGAAAAGTCTAAAAAGAGTTTCTGTGCATTGACAAGGGTATCAACTGCGACATGGGGTCTATCATTTAATACATTAAAGATCATATACGGAGCTACTTATTTAGGTTCTATGTGCTATGGTGCACCTGTGTGGGCCGATAGGGCGACCGTAGGCGCTGTCCGTCGCAAACTGTTACAAGGCCAACGACTTGCACTGATATTTTTGTGCAAGGCATATAGGACGGTTAGCACTGAGGCTTTGCCGGTGTTGGCAGGTGTCCTTCCGGTCGATCTCGAGGTGCAGAGACGTGCAGCCATGTACTATTCAAGACAAAACATGGAATGCGATTTCTTGGGCGCGCGGGATCGCGGTAAAATTACAAGATTGCTTCAACAGCAGTCCGATGTCTATAATGACCTCATAGACGAATGGCAGCAACGCTGGGACGAATCATCCAAGGGGCGCCATCTTTACTCAAGATGTCAGCGGGTAGCGGGTGGTGTAGCGGGGAAGGGAAAGGCGCTTCTCTTCGTGTGTAGCCGTGTGCTAGAATGACGCGCTACCTCGCCCCCGCCACTGTCTGTCACCCCGCGGGACGATCGCGCACGAGGTAGCCGGTTTATAGCACTTAAATTCAACAGATATTAATGTCAGTGTAAAGGAAGTCATGTCAAAGTAAAAAAAAAAGTAATAAGTAAGTATAGGGAAGAAATACATACTTGTTACAACAATACAATTACGGTATTTGTTTATCATTCAGAAACTCGTTTATTGTATATAACATTTTGAGGCTTTGGAAAGGCATGTACAAATAGATTTGTTTATTTTTATACTAACTCGGTTGTTGTGTTGGAATTTCATGGAGTGAATCGGATGATAAAAACCAGACATTGTTAATAATAAGTATTTAATCGCGTCCAAATGTGTCAACCTTGGAGGTGATGGATTGATGAGGTGGAGACTATGTATGAGTACATTAGTATTGATATGTGCAAAACTCACTACACCGTCTAATTTAAAGTTTTTAGTGCTACAAGGTCACAAGCAGTAACGTGTCCATATTTGCCGAAAGCGAACAAAAACTTTGTTCTATTCATGTTTGTGCAAAAAAACAGGTGAGTTTTGGTCTGAACTTTTTGTATTATATAGAGCAATTGGTAGTTGCGGGTTTATCTCTAATATATAAAATTCTCGTGTCACGGTGTGCGTGGTTGAACTCCTCCGAAACGGCTCGACCGATTTTCGTTAAATTTTTTGTGCATATCGGGTAGGTCTGGGAATCGGCCAACATCTATTTTTCATACATCTATTTTTTTTTTTTTTTTGACAAAAAAAAATTGCAATAATGTACATGGCAAAACAACGTTTCCCGGGTCAGCTAGTATTGTACAAAATTTAGTAAATTTTTGGGTCTGATTCATTATAGATAGCTAAATTGCCAAAAAGTGAAGATGTTTTTTTGTACTATATGGGCTAAACTTGAAAATGGTTTTTGAATCACTTGTAATTTATGAAATATATTTATATTACCTTTATTTTCATGGCTATTTATTCTTAAATTTATCAAAGAATAAATCTGCAAAATTTCACATTTACAACTTAATTAATAAGCATTTTACACCAGTGATGTTTGACATACCAATTTCTTGGTACGCGTACCATTTTGCAGTGTCTTGTGCCACATACCAAGTAAAAATTTTGCTGGTACCCAATAATACCAACTTTCTACATAGATCATACTTTAAATTGTTTTTTTTTTTTTGTATCTAGGAATATATTAGTTCTGGCTGTACGTTATGGTTACAAGTTACAAACAACATTTATTATTGAAAATTGTACTGTTCATAATGATATTTATTTTGACCACTTTTTACTAAAATCATCTATGGATAATTGGCTCGATTGATAAAGTTTTTCTGAAGTAAGTTAGGTACTCCTAACTTACTTCAGAAAAACTTTATCAATCGAGCGAATTATCCATAGATGAAGGGTATGATTTTGTCAAAAGATAGATCAAAATTCCTTCATCCTAACATCCTTGTTTTATACAAAAATTAGCTGTGACGTAAGAATTCAGAATCCAGATTTCCCAAAAACGATAATCGATGTTTCGCCCGAAAAATCATAGTATTATCTGAATCGATAATTTTCTCTATCGATTTGTAGACACCAAACCCTAAACTTCAACTGTCAAAATGCATCTTAGAATAATTTGCTAAATTGGGGATACGTTTTGGTTGACAAAATAGGTGAACGTTATCTAGTCGAATACAACTATTGATTACTAACTCTACGCCCTAAAGTAAAACATAAATTTTCATGATTAAATACATACTGATTTTTTTAAAATCAATGGTATTGATAAATATTTTTAAAAATCGATTAATAATTGATATATAAAATAAAAAGAAGTGCATGGCCAAAATAATATTTGATATGAAATTAAACACCTGATTAACTGTATACATAAATTGAGATTGATGATTGCTCATCACATTATATTCTTCAGACCGTCATCATAATCCATTTCACCTCATCGATTTTAAGATTTTATAAAATAAATCTGTTTACATGGATTTAATCTCAGCCCTAAGTCTTAAATGTCATCTCTTAGCTGTCACTAAATGCAACGTACGTACGTCTTACAAAAAAAAAGAAAGCGTTTTGTTCCTAAGTGAAGTGAATGTGTGTATGCTGTTGTAAAAGACGTACAGAAACTTATAAAAATGTTTTACCCTAGTAAAGGACTTTTACTACGTTTAACACTAGCTTGTACAATATTAGTGGTATTAGGACATAGTCACAGTCATTCTAATAGTGATGAACCTCCGGCGTTTAAATACTCCAAAACTGCAAACGAACAAACCAAAAAAGAAGAAGTGTTACTTGAACCAGATTATGATTTATACATAAGAGCATTAAGTTCAACTCTCTTTATAAGTATAGTACCATTCTTCATACTTTTCTACATACCTATCGACGGCACCGTCGAAAAACAGCCGCTACTTAAGATCCTATTGTCATTTGCATCCGGTGGTCTTCTCGGCGATGCCTTTCTTCACCTAATTCCTCACGCGCTTATGTCAAGTGGTAGCCCTGGCGCACACAGTCACAGTCACTCACACAGTGATGAAGAGCATCATGAACCTCATGACATTACTGTTGGCCTTGGAGTATTGGGAGGAATCATAACATTCTTAGTAGTTGAAAAAGCTGTGAGATTATTTGATGGTGGACATGGTCACTCTCATGGAACAGACAAGAAAAAGTCTGATGACAAGCAGAAGAAGAAGAACAAAGACAAAAAAGAAGATATCAAGATTGCTGGTTATTTAAACCTTGCTGCTGACTTCACTCATAACTTTACTGATGGCCTAGCAATAGGTGCATCTTATATTGCAGGGCATAACATTGGCCTCATAACAACTGTAACAATATTTTTGCATGAAATCCCTCATGAAATTGGTGACTTTGCTATACTTGTTCAGTCAGGCTGCTCTCGCAAGAAGGCAATGATGTTGCAACTGCTGACAGCTTTTGGTGCTGTGTCGGGCACAGTGCTCTCCATATATCTCAGAGGTTCAAGTGATGGTCTAGTTTCCTCACTCATCTTGCCATTTACTGCTGGGGGCTTCATTTACATTGCCACTGTATCAGTTATTCCAGAACTTTTAGAAGGTTCTAATAAATTTTCTCAATCAATTAAAGAAATAGGGGCGCTCTTGGCAGGAGTTTATATGATGGTAATTATTGCACAATATGAGTAGTGTTGTATTTTGTTATTAGACAAAATGTAAATATTTTTACATTGTATAATTTTGTCAGTAAGTAAATCAATAAACATCACATGCTATTTGTTCTTCATATTACTATTAAACATCTTTTTATCATTGTTCATTATTCTGTTCTAATATTTTAAGGGTATCTTTGTAATTCACTTTTAGTTGATGTTTTGTTAATGATAAAATTGTGTAAGAACTGATTCATATAATAATAATATTTCAATCATCTGACACACAATGCTACGCTCTTTAATGTTTGCCACATTAATAGGTCTAATAATTCATCATCAACACAAAGTATATCGATGCTATATCATTTAAAAAAAATGCCTCTACACAGTAAAAAGATAAACTTAATTCATTGTATCAAAATCATAAGTAGGTACCGCCTAAATCTTTCAGTCTTTTTTGCAATGATTATAAGAAAAAATATTTTTTGTTTATTTTTGACCACACTTTAAAAATATGGGATAAACCAGGGAAGTTATTCTAAAAATCTTTCGCCAAATTAACCAAGGTTTGTTATTTATTTAGCATTTTTTTTTTCTGACTTATTGAAATTTACTAAAGGCGACTTAGTACCTATTAAAATAAAAATACCATACTAATAATACTAAAAATTAAATATTTTTCTTGATATTCATAAAGTTATGAAACAATTTTATATTCCTAACTATAAATAAATGATACCTTCCTTCACAGATTTAGATATCTGGACTGGATTTTTTTTGCTCACATGAAAATGAAGAAGATATTTTGCTCACATTATAGTCATAACAGCAAGAAGCTTAGAAAAATGTAATACCTAGTTATATATATTTCTGTGGTTTTACACCTATTTAAATATTTTTAATTCAAAATAGGCAATCTTTTTCTGTATATTTTGTAAAGTTGGGTGTTAATGTGTCTCCACACTGTGATAACCTGTGCCATCTGTACTTGAGCCTTAATACTTATTGAAATGCACAGTTTACCAAATGCTAAGGTATTTGCAAACATATATGGCACTTTTTATACAGCAAAACTATTTTTTACAGTACATACCTATTTAATTGTTTTATATCTGAATTTAATGACTACCTATTATTTTTCACAATCATTACCTACTACTACAAAATTGATTATTTTAAGTAATCATGAAATACATGGCATAACTAGTACTTTTTATTAGGTTAATTGCATAAACCACCCATTATTCTTTAATATATTACAATATATCTTAGGTATATTTGTTAAGCCTACTTTGTTAATTTGTGTAAAGTTCCAGATGACAAATTTGAATACCTAATTAAAGTAAGATCAAATATATGAAAAACAAATAAAACCCTTTTATGCAGAAAAGATGTTTATTATTTTAAGAATTACTTCTTCTTGGAGACACCAACAGTTCTTCCTCTCCTACCAGTAGTCTTGGTGTGTTGACCGCGCACACGTAGACCCCAATAGTGACGCATGCCTCTGTGGGCACGGATCTTCTTAAGCCTTTCCAAATCTTCACGAAGCTTTGAGTCCAAGTTGGAGGAGGTTAGCTGGCTGAATTTACCATCAACAATATCCTTCTGCCTATTAAGGAACCAATCTGGGATTTTGTATTGTCTAGGATTTGACATGATAGTAACAATCTTTTCAACCTGAAACAAAGAGTACTAGTTAAAAACTATTCTAGGTGCACTGTTGCTGGTTTAATCTTCCTCTAAGCCTTTTGCTCAAACTAGGTTGTCTTCAACGATACGGCTGAACTTCGATTTTTTGCATGGAGCAATTGCCATCAGATCAACCAAAGTACTAGGCGATATCAAAGTTCTCCAGCTACATGTTACAATAGATACAGGTGTTCCTATGGCAACCGGGACAGAGAGCTTCACATGCTCTGAGGCATGTTGCTATTATTGCTGGCTTATAGATTGATAGATACTGACGTTTGTGAATTTTCAAGAGACTTCTCAAGAAAACAATAGCTTTATTTATTTATTACATAGATCATCAACAAGAACATCAAATAGCATTAAAATGATATTAATTTAATATTATCACACCAGTAACAATAAAAAGTGATTTTTGTAAAGCTGACTAATACACCAGTCTTTTAAGACTAGGATAAGAATAAGTTTGATACGTACCTCCTCTTCTGTGCATTCACCAGCACGTTTGTCAAGATCAATGTCAGCCTTCTTCAGGACAATATTGGAATATCTACGGCCTACACCCTTGATGGCAGTCATCGCGAACATTACTTTACGCTTGCCATCAATGTTCGTATTCATAATACGAAGAATATGTTGAAACTTGTCTGGAATAACCAGCGACTGAAACAAAGTTGATACTCATTTATAAACACTATAACTATTAAAATATTTACAGAAACATCACTGCGTATAGTTATAGAACACAAATTAACATTAACATTTAATTAACACTTAGAGATTTATTCAAAATTTACGGATTATTACCATTTTGGCAAATTTATTTAGTACGACCACCACTAACAACCACGGTTCATGGGGTAAAAGAATGACATTGACAGAAGAAGCTTAGAATTGCCATAACTACGTTTATGAAAAGATGCGTTCCTGTTTTCTACCACTTGACGCTTTAAATCGTTCAAGGCAATGTTTCAAGCTCATTAAAATTGGCCGTATTGTTATTATCCGGTTAATGATAATCAAGGTATTTTTTCAATAATAGATTTTACAGGCATAAAAATGGTTTTGTGCGCAATTATTACCAAAGGTCAAAACTATATATAAAACCAAAACAGTATACTAGTTTTGCATTTAAAAAAGTGGCAGTAAAAACTTTTTTTTTTTATTAAAGTAGATTTTATTTTGGCTTTTCGATTCAAAAATTGCCAACATAAATATATATCTATAGTTTACGTATAATAATATAAACAAAATATGTTTGTGACATACGTAGCTGAAACGTGGACACTTACGGTACGGCTGGTGCACAAGTTCAAAGTCGCTCTACGTGCTATTGAAAGGGCTATGCTCGGCGTTTCTCTAAGGGATCGCATCAGAAATGAGGTGATCCGGCAGAGAACCAAAGTCACCGACATAGCCTACCGGATCAGCAAGCTGAAGTGGCAGTGGGCTGGCCATATTAGCCGCAGAGCCGACAACCGTTGGGGTTATTGCTGGCTTGGGCGCAAGATGGCTGTCAGGAGCTGGATGCGAGAAGCCCAAAATCGATCTAAGTGGCGTGCAATGGGAGAGGCCTATGTCCAGCAGTGGACTGCGATAGGCTGATGATGTGATGTTTGTGTTACATATAGTTATATTATCAATATATTTCAACCCAAACTCAACTTAGATTTATGTAGATACTTACCTATATACAGTGTCGCGAGTTCAATGGCTTTTTTCAGTGTGCGTTACCCCAGCAAAATAATGTCGAAAATGGTCATTTAAATGTTATAGATAATTAGTTGCACCCTTTCTATAATTGTTAGGCACATTTTTAAATTTGTTTCACGTAATTTTTTTTAGTTATTTATAAAAAATATTTCCTGCTGGGGTAACGTTTAAAATGTTACCGCAGCCAGACATTTTATTTTTTAATTGGAATATTGAAATAAATATTAGCTAAAAAATTAGTTATCTGAACGAGGTAAATGTTCCAACTTATTTGGTATTTGTATTTTCTTCGGCTGCGAAGTTATTCGAGATCATGCTGGAGTAACGTTTGTGGGTTTGCTGGATCTCTGAAACGGGTAAGCGGATTATTTCCAACTTTTGTACATAACTTCTTAAGGATTAGTTTTAATTTGTTTAACAATAAAAAAACATAAATAATGGACCGTTTAAAAATTATTTAAGAAAGTATGAAAACACTTCAATACGTGCTAACACTTTGAAAAATAATACCTCTAAAGACTTACTTTAAACGTTATTCTATTGCTTGTAACTGCCTTCAAATGTATACGAAATTTCCTTAAGTATACTGTAAGTGACTAAAAAGTTATGATGAAATGTAGCTCTCCACGTTCACGATCACAATGTGTGCGGCCTTTTTTGCTCACCAATAAACCTGTGTGTGGATATATAAACTGAATGTTATACCACAAATTAGTTTTTTAGTTCAGTTGTCTACCTGTAAAATTTCATCGTACATATAATAATTTACAAGATAATTAAATAAAAGTCATCAGAAGGTGCAAGACTTTGGTAACCCGACCATGTTTAGGTGGTTACAAAAAAAGGGTGCGTGGTCCGGAACCTCCATGTGGTGCACCCTGGGCAACGGAGACGGCAGCGCCTCTCTCCCTAGGTGGGGGAGGCGCTGCCGCCTGCGGCCAATTCCGGCCGAGGTGGGAACGGCCCGCCAAGGGCTATTCGGAGGGCTGCTTTCCGCGTGTTCGTGTGTTTGGCGGGATAGGGGAGAGCGGGCTGGGGGCGAACGGGTCCACTAACGCTGGCTCTGTTCAGAGGTGGGGGACACTGGTCTGACGCAGACCACCGTCCGGCCATGTCGTAACCCTGACTGGCAACAGTCAGGAATGACGGCTCTTCGAGAGCTACGAGGAAGGCAATCTCTACAAAAAATCCTGGGGGGACCCGATCTGGTGCAGACCCCGTCCGGCCCAGCCGTAATCCTGAATGGACAGGACCGGTGGATCTTCGGATCCGCGAGGACGTAAACCTCTATAAAAATGCTCTTAGTCCACGTTCTGACGCCTGGCAAGGGGCTGAGTCGCTGGAGGGAGTCCAGTGCCGAAGGCGTCCCCGTCGAAGGACGTAAAACTAAAAAAAAAATGACATGAGGCCAATAGAGAAATCTACCCAGGAGGGTTCCGGGCACACAGTGTCTGGGGAATTCCTCCCGGAGCCAAACGGCTCCGGCAGCTCCCAGTCGTATTCTGGGGGGAGCACTGAATGTCGAACCTGCCCGTCGCCGAGGCTCTCCTGCATCCGATCAAGAATTCAATAAATACCTTGTAGGTATTCATTGGTTATGATTAATTTTTAAAAGAAAGACTACGTCCGCGATTCCTATGTCAAAAATAAACTTACATCAACACGTATATATACATATATATACGTATATATACACACATATTTGTCTAAGTATTTTTACCCGTAAATTAACGAATGGCGAGTCGTTAGAATGAAAATGGCTCCTTTATTCACCTTTGAAAAAATCTGTGTACTGTTACTACCGCCGTCTATTTAATACTAGTACAGGTACTGGATGTACTTTGAGTTCTCCAAATGGATATAAAGAAGCATATGAGCATATAAGCATATGAGCATATTGGAAGCATATAAGTAACTTATTAATTGAGCATGAGAATAGCTTACAGCACAGGCAATTAATGATGAATTGCAAGAAGCAAATCTACTGGACGACTTGACAGTGAGTTACTATCCCAATATAATACAGAAGTCAATTATTGGAAGAATGTACTTAGAAGAATAGTTGCAGTAGTGAAATTTTTGGCTTCTAGAGGTCTTGCTTTTCGTGGTGATAATGAGATTTTGGGGTCTCAAAACAATGGAAATTATTTAGGATGCTTAGAACTGATTGGTGAATTTGATTATTTTCGTGCTGATCATATGCGGAACTGCGGCAATCGTGGAAAAGGAAGTACATCATATTTGTCTGCAAATATTTGTAATGAATTTATCAATATAATGGGACAGCAAGTTTTAAAAACAATTGTGAGTGAAATAAAATCAGCAAAATACTACTCTATAAGTGTGGATTCTACGCCAGATCTCTCTCGTTGACCAACTAACTTTCATCGTTAGATACGTAAAATATGGAGAGCCTATTGAGAGATTTCTACAGTTCTTGCCTATAGATAACCATAATGCAGAATACTTATAGTTAAACCGCCGTAAGCTTGGCCCTCCTGATGGTTTGGGGGACGCGGGGCGGGGGTGAATTCAACCAATTAGCTAGTGCGTCGCTGTCCGCCGGCAGTGACTGACGTGAAAGCATGGCTGTACGTGTTATTTTTCTTAAGACACACACGGTATTATTTTGCAACATGGATAATCTGCAGACTCTGCGTCACAAAAAGATTTAAAAACTTGAAGTTCGGCTTACAGAGGTTCTCCTGTTAAAATTCTAATAAAAAATATTTATTATTTTACTTAATTTTTAAATTGTATTTGAATATAATTTACATGATGAAGATAAGGTGATTTTATTAAAATTATTTTACAGTATTAAATTTTACAATTAATCATAAAAACTTACAATACACCGACATTATAATACATTGAAATAAATTCGATTTTTATTACATCTCGTGTTGATTAAATCTCAAACAAATAAATCTGAAGATATCGAGTTAGTACATCGTGTCATGTATGAGGAGGGCCATGTATCAGGAGGGCCAAGCTTACGGCGGTTTAACTATAGCAGGTAACATTTTGAACTTTTTGGAAAGCCTTGATATTCCTATAAAAGATTGTCATGGACAGAGTTATGATAATGCATCAAATTTTGCTGGAAAGTATTCTGGTATTCAGTCAAGAATAAAAGAAAAATGCAAATTTGCCATTTTTGTCGCATGTGCAGCACACTCGCTAAATTTAGTAGGTGTTCAAGCTATTGATTGTGTTTCCGAAGCTGCAGCATATTTTCAGTTTATACGAAAATTGTTCAATTTCTTCTCCGCTTCGACCAAACGATGGAAAATTATGGTAGAGCATTTAGGTACAAATAAAGTCTTGAAGTCTGTGCCGGATACTAGATGGTCTGCACGTGCAAATGACATTAATGCTTTACAAAATGTTTATTTAAATATTTCTGAAGCTTTGTCCTCGATAGTAAGTGATGTCAATCCAGGAGAAACAAGAAACGAAGCGCAAAGCCTAGTAAAAAAAATGGAAAAATTGAATACAATACTTTTAACGGAAATATAGAATGTTTTTTTTTTTCATCGACGCATCTCTCATCGAGTACGTCAATAACGCACGCAATAGTTTTGATCAATATGAATTCCCTGCTGAAGAAAAAAACCAAATGCTGACTATAAAGATAAATTTGACAGGAATAGAATTCGCAGCACACGCGTTACTTTCTTTGAAGGATCATCAGAGACTGTGCAGTTGCATGGGAAGGAAAAATTTCGTATAGATACATTATACATAATAGATACATTATATGCACATTTAAAAAATCGTTTGGTAGCGTATCAAGAAATGCACGATCGTTTTACTTTTCTTTCACAATTAACAACAATTGATTCTGACGAGTTAACAAAAAAAATGCAATGAATTTAAAGAATTCTATCACGAAGACATTAATGCATATGAGCTCAAATCAGAGTGTTTTTATTTAAGACAGTATTTAAAGAATATATCAAAGGAATCAGCTGATTTGAGTATATCAAACTTACATAATTTAATAAAGTCCGACAGATTAGAAGAAATTTTTCCAAATGTTGAAGTGGCTACAAGAATGTTTCTATGCCTAATGGTTACCAATTGCAGCGGAGAGC